CCATGCCACTGCAGGGGCGGGCTTTAGGGGACCCGCTTACCTTTCCTCCTGGGCGGCTTCCCTGGCTGCTCCCTGGGGGAGCCCGTCCCCAGAGTCTCCTCCTCCCCACACCCGTGCAGGCCGCTGGCTTCCCCTGTGTCCAGGGAAGCCCTAATGCCTCCAACTGCAAGGGACACAAAGGCAGGGAAGCCTGGCTGAGCGTGGGCACCAGGACCCTCCCCACACCCGCTGAAGCCACTCTGAAGGAAGGCCTCTCGTCTGCACCTAGACCCGACCCCCGACACCCCCGCCTGTGGGAGGGAGGAGCCCCTTGCTCCAGGGACCCCCGGAGAGGGGAGGGGCTTTGTCCTGCCCCGTGGGGGGGAACCCCCAGTCCCCGAGAGGGGAGGGGCCTTGTCCTGCCCTGTGGGGGGGGACCCCTGTCCCCGAGAGGGGAGGAGCCTTGTCCTGCCCTGTGGAGGGGATGCCCCCAAGAGGGGAGGGGCTTTGTCCTGCCCTGTGGGGGGGACCCCCAGTCCCCGAGGGGGGCGGGCTCCTGCCCACAAAGGCGACTCACGCAGGCGCGTCTCATCCAAGATGTTGTTGGGTGACTCTACCCAGAGCAGGCCCTCACCAGCTGCCATGGGGGGTAACGGCTGCTCGGCGTCACCTGCAGGGAACCAGCCTGTGTCAGCCCCTCACATGCTGCCATGGGGCCAGGACCCCCCCATGACCCTTCCTGCCAGGCTCCCCACAGAGCCCAGCCCCCAGAAGCACGGCTCCTCTCAGGCCGGGGGGTTCCATTGTTCTGGGGCGGGGGGAGGCCTGTGGCCATGGTGCAAAGCCAGGCCGGGGCAGGGCTACACCAGGGTGTGGGAAAGGGGCAGCGGGAACCAGTGCCCAGGCTGTTGGTGTTGGGGGAAGGGGGTGACGCTGTTCCTGCTCCCCTCCGCCTGCTGGGCAGGGTTTGAGGGGACGTCACGGGGGGGTCTGACCCCCTCATGCCCCCCCAGGTTGTCACCGCTGGGTTCCAGCGTCAGTGCTGTCGGGACGATGGGGCCAGGCTCTGGGCAGCCCCTGGCAGGCCGCGCTGGCAGTGCCCAGGCTGTTGGTGTTGGGGGAAGGGGGTGACGCTGTTCCTGCTCCCCTCCGCCTGCTGGGCAGGGTTTGAGGGGACGTCACGGGGGGGTCTGACCCCCTCATGCCCCCCCAGGTTGTCACCGCTGGGTTCCAGCGTCAGTGCTGTCGGGACGATGGGGCCAGGCTCTGGGCAGCCCCTGGCAGGCCGCGCTGGGCAAGGGTTCCTTGCCCCCCTCAGGGCGGGAGACTCATCGCGGCCCCTGCGGGCGGGGGCTTGCAAGCCTGTGTCATCACGGCTGGAGCTAGAGCGGCTCCGCGCACCGGGGAGAGTCCTGAGCGGGGTCTCCGCAGAGGCCTGGGGGTTGGGGTCTCAGGAGCTGCAGTGGGTGACCCCCTTCCCTTACCCTCCTGTGACCCACCAGGCACCGGGACACCGTCCCCGACCAGCTGCAGCTCGGGGCTCTCCAGCAGCGCGTCCGCCATGATCCCCCGAGGCGCCTCATCCACATCCAGCCCCGAATACACGTACAGCAGGTCTGCGCAGCGCAGCGGCTCCTCCAGCGGGGCTGGGAACGCCAGCGGGCCATCGAGCTGCAGGGTGGCAGGCAGGCACCACAGAGCCCCCCAGACGCTCAGCAGCCCCCACCCCCAGGCCTCTGGACCAGCCACGGCGACAGGATCCAGGAGGTGCAACCCGGCCCTGGTGTCCGGCC